TCCTCTTGCTTCAGCCTCCTGAATTGCTGACAGTACAAGAACACACTAATAATCTTGCATTCCATAACATCACAGATAGTTAGAAAATCAACATGCTGCATAGCCATTCAGGTAATAAGTGAAATTCTAAAATTTATGTAAGACCATGTAATAAAAATTCCTTCCCTTTCATTTTTTGTTTCTCCACTTTTTAAACTTTATGACTGTCACCAGGGTCTTTATATTTGAACGTTGTAGGTTCTAGTAATTGGGAAATGATGAGTCCCATGGAACATGTGTGTTATGGGTAGCAAGTAGTTCTAAGTACACAGCCAGAAGGATGGAACGTCCCTGGAACATACATAACATATTGTGCATGCTCAATTCCTTTGAACTAAAGAAGGATAAAACATTTTGTTTGATGTTTTTTTTTTTCTGTTTTTCTTTTTGAGGCTGTCACAATATGTAACCACCACAGGTTGACCTGAAGCTCATTATGTAGTCCAAGCTGGTCTCTAAATTTTGACCCAATCTCAGCTATAGACTAATGGGAATAGCAGGCTCAGTTTCTAGTCAGTATCTCACAGATGCTGTTGTTATAACATTCACTGAGCCAAGCAAGTATAGGATCTGGTGAATCAGAAATAAATGAAAACCAATTATTTCCCTACAGGCATTAAGAAAACACATCTAGGCTGGATGTAGATTATATGTTTATAGTAGCAGCATTTGTAAACTTGAGATGGGAGGATCGTGTGTTTGGGGACAGTGTGGACCACATACTGAGTTCCAGACTAGCCTGAAATATATAACAAGACCTTATCCCCAAAAATGGGTCTATATCAGGACAGGTACAAATACCTATATCAGGTGTGATATAAATGTCATCCTTGCACTTAGAAGGATGAGGAAAGAGAATTGTGAGTTAAAGCCAAACTAGGTTATAAAATAAGACATTGCCTCAAAATACAAATAAAAAAAAACAAGCAAAGAGACAATCAACAACAAAGGATCTAATCTGGTAAGGACAAAAAATATAATCTGATCAGCGGGTGCAGCTCAATAGGAGAGGTACCCCTGTATGTACAAAATATTACATTAAAATGCTCTGCTCTTAACCACAAATGTAACATACTGACAATGCTTTCTGTTTTCTTTTTATTTTTATGGAGAGGAGAGAGTGTAGCTGTACAGATAAAAAGTAACAAATCACATACATGACAAAACTAAGCTCAAACACTGGCAAGTAGAAGCCCTAATTAAAGGTTTTTGGTTTTGTTCTTCTGTCGCAATTTTCATGATCACCAACTTCTTTGTCATTCCAATGCTTATTGGACAGTTTTGAGGTACCCCTTTCCTCCTCCAGTGGGACAGATGTGTATATAAATTAGAAACAGCACAAGAAAAAATCTAAACAGTGTGTAATAATGGCCTAGGGCCAGGCTTCAGCACTGACAGGAAGACTAAGTCAAATAAGAACCTCCTCATGTAGGTGATGAGCCCTAGAAGCAAACATGCAGGTTGAGAGTCCACTGTGCTAGAACTGGCATACTGTTAAGATCAGGAGACAATATGGGTATTTAACATTGTCTGACCTTGTGTTTAAATACACAAAACTGATAATTATTCAAATTGGTGAATGATATCTGAATCTCTGAGGACTTTCTAAGAACATTCATGTTAACAGAAACAAAATATATTTTTCTTAGGCTTTTTAGGGCATTCTGTACAAGATCTAGTGGTGCAAGAAGAAAAAAACCTACTAGATATCTGGATTAAATTTTTCACATTTCTTGGAATGTGGTGAATAATTTATTCTCCATCATACAAATTAAAGGTGTGTCTAGGCTCTGCCTTGCACTGTGCAAGATTTTAAGTATAAAAATGGTCCCCAACTTTTGGTGTTTCAACTTAAGAATTTTCAATTTTATAATAGTGCAGAGGCAAAATACATTCAATACAAACTGCACTTTGTAATTTGATCTTTTCTCAGGATGGCAATATGATGTGGTACAATACTCTTTAGCTGCTGAGCCATGGAAGTGAGTAGGAGCTCCCAGTCAGCCATGTGACCACAAGGTAAACAACTGATCCTCTCTGGTGCACCATGTAGTTAAGCTATGATAATCAGTAGGTTAGGTGCCTTACATGTATTTTTGTAGTGATAGAGACTGTAAAATTGTTAGGAAAGGAGTATATTTTCAATAGTCTAAAGTCAGGTTTTCTTTAGAGTGAGAACAAGAATGACCTTAAATGCATTTTTGAATTACGTTACTCTTGGCTAACGATGAGTTCATCAGAACATAAACATTGTAAGTCAAGGAATATCTGAATGAAGAAGATGTTAAATTCCTGTCCTTAAATTGTTCAAGGTCTCATTTATAAAGATTAAGTTGTAATGTCTTCCCTCAAGTGTATAGGTAAAGCAGACTTTGAGTATTAAAGTTCATTCCCAAGAAATCGGTAGATATTTTACCTACTAAAAGTCAGAGTAAATAGATCCAGGTACTGGGCATCTTTTCACAGAGGCAAGACTATGCCTCAGAACCTACGTGAACTATTTCTAAAACACAGGCAGATATGTGCGTGGGTACATAGTTATGTATCCCAAGACTGAAATGCCCAAAGAAAGACTGATCATGGTAAGCAACAGGGAAGAGAGGCTACACAATGAAATTCTAAAGTGGCTGGTATGATCAAAAAGAAAATAATTCTCTCGTTTGAGGACATGCCCTTTGTTGTTCTTGAAAAATGAAAAAGAAGATAATGCTGAATTAGTTCAGAATGATTTAGGTGACCTTATCTAAAGGCCAAGCTATACCACACAGTAACTATAAAGAAGATCTTATCAATATTAACTTCAATAATATCTCAATCAGAAAAACCTCCTTTATTGTCTGAGCATATTTTGAAATCTTCTGGTTGCAAAATCTAAAAACAAAAGTTATTCATGCTACCATTGCTCACAGTATGGATCTTGAAAAATGAAAACACACTAGTTATGTCATAAGTCTATTTTAAAATAGTTATTTTACAATGCATATGTTGTTACTGAAAGACAAAAGTTGTAATAAAAAATATGATAATAAAGAATCATGCCTGCAGGAAGCAACACTACTACCATTGACTAGGTGACATAAGGAAGATATTGGTCTTTTTGGGATATTTTGACCTTCACTGTCCATGATGGGAAGACCTGATAAAAGAAACCCAATGGAAATCTGAGAGCTATTATTTATAGATTGCATTCAACTTCCTCAATGTACTTACAGTTGTAGGACATGAGTAATAATTAAAAAGCATCATAAATGACCAAGTATAAACTGTGAAATGAGAGGATGAATGGAGAACTACAGGTAGGAATATTGAGAAAAGTTACATTGCTAGCTGCTATTACCTTTGCTAGCTCTTTCACATAATTTATTTTATGGGCCCTGATTGTTCCATGATTTTCAGCATTTGGTCATATGTAAGGTTCTCAAGACACACTAGTGTTTCAATGAAAGGTCTGACAAGAGTTTAGAGTTCTCATGTAATGCCTTAAATTCCAACAAAGACAAAGAAGAAAAAGTAAAAAAGAATCAATAATTTACTATGAAAGGACATTGACCCACCTGGAGTATGTTTAAAATTTTTGTGCTAAATCTCTGTGGAATTAACTGAATGTCTAGTTCTGGGGACTAGCATGAGGATTATTAAAGCTCCCTGGATGCTTCCAGCATGAGGCCAATTTTGGAGGCCAGTGATATTCAATGTCTCACAACAAATGCATTGATAGATTTGATCATTGCACAAATTTATTGGAAAGTGCATATGGACCAGGACAATTCTATGCATATTTTAAAGAGAGTTATGCATTTTTCCAGGGTTCCTGGGTCATCAATGATAGACCCAGAAGAGGTGGTAGGTACCATAGGATTCAGTTGTGGAGTAGTAATTATAGATGTAGTATACCAGAATTTTCCCATATTCCATTAAACATGTGCCTGGTAAGCTTCTCATTGCTATAACAAAACTCCTGAAATAAACTACTTGTAAGAAGAAAAGTCCATTTTGGGTAATCATGTCATAGATTTTAGTCCACGTAACTTCACCCAGTTCTTTTGGGCCTATCATGAACACCAGAAGAATGTGGCATAGGAGGCCTGTGTACAACATGTTAGTTAGAAAACTAAGGGAGAACAAGGAAGATACCTAGTTCTAATAATCCCCTGTTAGGGCACTCCAGTAAAAATCCAACTTCCTTCCACAAGGCTCCAACTACTTTTTTATTTTTATTAGAATTTATTCATTGTACAGAGGGGATTCATTGTGACAATTCCAAATTGGCTTACATTGTACATTGGTTAGATTGTCCCCACCATCTGCCCCTCCCCCCAGCAACCCCCATAGTATCCCACTTAAAGCAATTTCAACAGGTTTCATCATTATATTTCCTATATATATAATATTCACCAACCATATTCCCTCAATTTCATCTTTTCCACTCATCCCCTCTTCCCACAGTATCCCCAACACACATTATACCTATTTTACACTTCTTTTATTATTAATTCCAAAGTCAATTTTGAGAGGGGTTTCTCAATGTATCTTTGCTGATTAAATATACTTTATCTTAAGGCCACACTTTCTAAGATTCCATTGACTTGTAATAGGGCCACAAGACACAGACTGATCATTGAACACGTGTATATTAGGGATATTCAATGTCCAAATATGTAATGAAACATGTTAAAAAATGGCTTAAACATGGAGAGAGGGATAAAAAACAGTACGGAGGGAATGAATTTGATGAAAATCCAATATATTCATGTATAGCAAACATAAAAATGACACACTATTGAATAATTATGTATTAGCAATAAATATGTGTTCCAAACCAGAGCAATATTCAGATATGAAATGTCAAGAGGAATAAAATCTATGACAGCAAAAAAAAAATTAAACTGGCCAAAGAGGCATGCTTTCTCAGTCTAGATGCTTGGTTTTGAAATTTTAGTAATCCATACCTCAAGTATGGCCTAGCATATAAATGTTTTACTGAACACCCTCCATAGGGCCTTCTTGAGGTCCCTGTTCCTCAAACTGTAGACAAAGGGGTTCAGCATGGGTGTGACCATGGTATACATCACTGAGGCCACCATAACCTTCCCAGGGTTATGTGAAACAATGGAACTGAAGTATGCGCCAAAGGCTGTGCCATAAAATACACTCACAAGTAAAAGGTGAGAGCCACAGGTGGGGAAGGCTTTGTATTTCCCACTAATCAATGGAACTCTCACAATAGAGGAAATAATTCTTATATAAGAATAATGAATCCCTGAGACTGGAACACCTCCAAAGATAGCACCAATAACATAGATTAATATGTTATATGTAGAGATATAATCACAGGAAATCTTAAGGAGTTGAGGAGGATCACAGAAGAAATTACGGATTACTATATCTATACAGAATGTAAGTTGTGATACCATCAAGCAGTGTACTAGGGAATCCAGAACACTAATGGAAAATGATATCAGTATTAACAAGCCACACATGCAGGGGCTCATGATGATGGGGTAGTGTAAAGGCTGACAAATGGCCATTACAGACAACAGTAGAGAGTCCAAACATCCAAAAAGGAAAAAAAAGGACACTTGAGTAAAACAGCCTACATAGGTGATGGATTTGCTGTGTGTCTGGATGTTCACCAGCATTTTGGGAATTGTAGTATTACTGAAGCCAATGTCAGCTAAAGACAGGTTAGAAAGAAAGAAGTACATGGAGGTCTGGTGGTGTGAGGCTGAGCTGACAGCCAAAATAATGAGCAGATTCCCAAGTACTGTGACCACATATATTATCAAAAATAGCCCAAAGAAGAGAAGCTGTAGTTCTGAATCATCTGAGAGTCCCACAAGTTGGAATTCCATGACGCCTGTTAAATTCTGTGACTTCATGTAGCTAGGACACCTTTTGAAAACAAGAGTTCGTTGGAATAAATGAAACAGCATAGAAGCAAACAGCTACATGTTTCTATTTTGAACTCAGGCACCTCAAAGTAGCAGGCGAGCATTGAAATGATTTGGATGAAGTTTAAATATGTTCTCCAAGATCCATGAGTAGGGAGCTTTACAGTCAATTCAAAGGAATAGATAGTTTTAGAAACGGAATCCTGGCTGAGGTATAGCTCAATGGAAAACCACTAGATTCCTAACGACCTATGTTTTGTCCCCAGTACTTCAAGCAAGAAGTAAAAGGCAAAGAGGGAGGTAGGGATTAGGAAGGAAGGAAGGAAGAAAGGAAGGAAGGAAGGAGGAAGAAAGGAAGGATGGAAGGAGGGAAAGAAGAGAGGGAGAGCAAGAGGGAAGGAGAGAAGGAGAGAGGGAGAGAGGGAGAAAGAAAATTGTCTTGTGGCAAGTAAATAGGTCAGCAAAGGTGGGCCCTTTGAAAGGATTGTGGAACCACAATCTTTGTGGCTTACTCTTCCAAAATGTCATTTCTTCCCTACTGCCCCTCATCAGAGCCAGTGATATACTGTTTAAACTTTGGACTCCAAAGTTGAAAGCTAAATCTCTTTTTAAATAAAAATTCTCTGCCTCTGATATTTCATTATAATAACATTAAACAGACTTTTGTTAGTATCATGTGCTTTTCAATATATCTCAGTTGTGACAAACTTTTGTTACTATTTCTTCGTGGGATTCTTTGCCATTTACCTGTTTCTGCATCCATCTATTCTAGAAACTCTAGGTCAAGGAACAAAGACATTTAGACATAGCAAATTCATGAAAACAGTAAAATATATGCTCTCTACCACTGAAGGAAACATATGGAATTATAATTACTTGTACTTAAGAAACAAATGATCATTCTAATTTAAGAACAAGAATCAAGAAATTTCTGGATTTGTATTGTGAATTCTAACCTTAAAAGAGATGCACCAGTTGATTTCTCAATTTATGTCAAATATTGATAATCAAATAGAATTCTTATATTCCAAATATTTCACATCTTTTCGCCATGGATTGTATAGCAGACCATCTTCTATGAAGCTTAATGCCTATGAAAATGTGTGGGAAATCTAGTAAATATCTTTTCAAGTGCAACTGAAACATACATTTGGTTTTCATGGGTTTCAAATTTGGATAAATGTGTCCATTTTTGTTAAATGCCAAACAAATAATAGAATATCAATCATTCTGAAGGTAGTACTAACTTACAGGCATCAATGTTTAAACAATAATTAGCTTTAATTGGTTCACTCCACTTATTTTTCTTTTTTTTCCACTTTTTTCTTCTTTTGCTTTTTTGGTCATGCTGGAAAAGGAACCCTGGGACTTGAGCGCTAGGCAAGAGCTCACTCAGCTCTATTCCCAGCCCTGAAGTGATATTTTCAATAGATGCTACACAATCTCAAGGGAACATTGGAGTTTGAGTTCATGTTTTGTTTTTCTACTTTTGTTGTCTGCAGTGAATGGTTAAAAACTACCTAAATATATCACTTATCCTAAACATTTGTGCAGGGCTGGTTTTACATCAAGTGCAACCCTCTTGTGTACACTTGAGTAATGTAGAATGAGTGTGGCTCCAAAGCCAATGCCAGTTCTGCAACCTTCATTTGACCTTTCTATGAGAGCTTCAGATCTTTTTGAAACAATCCTTTCTCATTGGAGAATTACATTACCAGGAAGTCAGTTATTTAGGCACTTAAAATCACCATTTCTCTTGAAAAGGAAAATATGATGTATTATTTTTATTTTCACTAATATATATTTTTGTTAATGTATCATATTAATAATTATACACAGAGAATAATGATGCAAACACATGAGATGTTTGCTCATTTGTAAAATGGGTATGTTGATTGAAACTACTGGAGAGTAATAGAATATGTCGCCCAAAAATATGGCCATTTGACATAAGGAATAAAATTTCTTCCATCAGTCTATTTTTCTTAAAACAAGACACAAACTTGTAAAGATTTTTTCTCATATTTCTACCTGGAATAACAGGAGTAAGTGCCTGTAGATAAATCTTGACATCAGAGTGATCTATACTGTGAACCATGTTAAAATCACTCTTTAAGGACTCAGTCTCCACATGGATTCTTCCTCCCTGAATTTCCCACAGTACTAGAAGCCAAAAGATATTTGTTATAGTCATTTTTAACTTTTTATTAAACTTTCTGCTTTCTCCTGGTATTTCTGAGAGAGGGTGTCACAGTGGAGTTGGCCTAAAACTCATAATCTCCTGCCCCAGTCTTCCACTTTTGGCAGTGCAAGTGTGAACCACCACACTGGTTACAATCCTAAGTTTCAATCATCTGTTTGACTTAATGGTTGCTGAGTGCTTCTGTGAATATGTGTGAAGAAAAAGAATATTTTTGCAGTATTAGAATGTGAACCCAAGATCTCAGAGTTTCCAAGTCACATAGTACCAAAATTAAATAATCTTCTACTACTTTTGTATATGCATCTTATTTTTGTCAATCTAATGTACAGAGGCCCATCTGAAAAACCTAGATGGCTGAAGGAAAGAATTTTCCTTTGGTACATAATCATATAGTGGTGCTGTAACAAATTAAATGGAATAATAACGGCAAAGTGCTTACACAGTGGTTGTCAACAGAGGTTTTTCATTATAATCACCTGTTAATCTTTTTAAATTTGCTCATGTACTGCGCACATCCTACAACCAATTAAGTTAGAATAACTACTCATAAGTTGTAAAGACATACTAACATACAGTCAAGGTAAAGAAAACAGACTCAAGAATTTATTGATGTTCCATGAATGTGATGTATTATTATTAACATTAATATCCACTACTATATGAAATGTATAATTATTTAGTAATATATGCTCCAAAACTTTTTTGAGACAGGGTCTTGCAATCTATCCCAAGCTGGCCTCAAACCTGTGATCGTCCTGACTTATCCACCTGAATTCTTGGATTACAGCTGTGTGCTGCCATGCCCACCTCAGAATTCATACTTAATATGTATAAACTTTTTGTGTCTTTTTGCTATCTCTACATGATCCTTTTTTGCCTGAACTTTAGACAATCACTCTAGAGAATTTAGTGGGAGGGGGAATTTTCTTTAATGTTTCCATACCATTAGAATCAATTTATATCCATGAAGAATTTTTATATTAAAATTACCAAAATATTTCATACTGCAAATATTATTGCCCAAGAAGCCTCATCTGCACATATGGTATTCTTCATCTTTCTGTGAAGTACATATGACACTTTTAAATACTTTGAATGATGCATACTATCACATAAGGAATTACTTTTATTTTTTCAATTTAAGGCAATGCTCCTAAGAGAATTTTCATTCCTCTCTACTAATCACAAGTAAGAATTTCTGTAAGGTATATTTATGAGACACTGTTTTCAGATTTAAAAATTGATACATTACATTCTACTATTAATTATATACATCTATTTTCACAACAGAAAACACTTACAAAATCAAGATTTGAAGGTGTTTTCAAAGTACAAAATCAATAATATCTCTGAGGTCTGTCAAACAATGGGCTTTCCATGAGTTCTTCATGAAAATTACCACATATAGAGAATGGGAAATTCTCCGTACAGAGAATACACCAATACAATACTCATAGACAACCATATGATTGACAGTATTCATGGAAAGAATATCTATGGGACAGAGTAGAAGTTTCACACTTACCAAATATTTTCACGGGTGTTTTCAGACAATGTTTTGCTATGTAGCTCAGGTTAGGCATGAATTTGGAATCCTGTCAAATTTTGAGCTTCCAAAGTACTGTGATCACAGACATGGACTGCTACCATAACAAGCATTTGCCATTTTTTATGAAAAATTGAGTAATTGTTTTTTTTATGATGAGGTCTTGCTATGTTGCCCAATCTTGTCCTACTTCTTGGGCTCAATTGGTCTTCCAGCTTCAGTGTCTCCCAGGTTGCTAACAATAGAGAAATGTGTCAACTCACCCACTCTGATCACAGTAGAATTTATAGGTGTGTTGATGAAATACAATCACAAGAAAGGAACAATGATTTTTACATTCTGTTACATCACAGAGAGACAGAAAATCATCATGTTGCAGGAATCTTCTTTATATTAAGAGTAAAAATTCTAAAATGTCTGAAAGACCATGCAATAAGATTTATTCCCATTTACTTTCTGTGTCTCTCTTGTTTTAAACTTTATGATTATAACCACAATTTTTATACATGAATATTGTAGGTTATATTAAAAGGACAATGGTAGGTTCCATGAGAAATCTGTGCTATGGGTGTCAACTGGTTTGACATTCAGAGCTGGAAGGAGTGAAAGAACAATTGGGAAAGCCTCAGTATAATGATAGCATATTTCATATACTCTGTTCCTTGAATCAGGAAAGTATCTAGTCAGTATTTTGGTTGATGTTTGTTCTTTTTACATTTTTTTCTGAGATAATCACAATCTGTAACCACAATCTGTAAGCTGGCCTTAACTCATTATGTACCCTTGCTGATCTCAAACTTGCCATCCTCCTGCCACTTTTACCAAGTGCCTGGGTAACAGGTTTACCCCACCACACTGGGCTTCTACCAAATATCTCATACATGCTGATGTTCTTATAGCCTCAATTCAATCAAGCAAGGTATAGGATCTGGGACATCAAAGATAAGTGAAAGCCATTTACCTTCAAGCATTAAGAAAATTCATCTATGCTGGACATCAATGGCTCATGCCTGTAATCCAAGCAACTCAGGAGGCAGAGATCAAGAAGATAGCATTTCAAAGCCAGCCCGAGCAAATAGTTAATGAGACCCTATCTGGAAAATACTCATCACAGTGCTGGTGGAGTGGCTCGAGGTGAAGGCCCTGAGTTCAAGCTCCAGTACCACAAAAAAGAAAATACATCTAGACTTGGCATGGTGGAGTATGCCTAAAATTCCAGCATTTCAAATGCCAAATAAG